ATGCTAACTGTTTTACATAAAATTTCCTGTGTCAGTCAAATACTATGTATTCTTATGAAAGCCACAATCAAAATTGCACTACTAAAGATTTCCCAGTTTCTGCATATTTGAACTTATATTCAAATGCCATCATTCCTTTGTCCCATATCAAAAAATTCAAAAGGAGGAGTGCATTCCTTAGAATTGGTCCCTGATAGAAAATGCTGCTTGACGAAGGAAACCATGAGCCCTTGTGTATTTGAGAGGGTTAATATTGATCTCATCTAGTATGCCTCAGAGTTAAATACACACTACACACACACACAAATATAGGTGTATTTTGATATCTCAGAATCAAACAGACCTGGGCTATAACCACACCTGTCTTATTTACTAGATGTATGACCTTGAGCAGTTACTTAAAATCTCTACATATCTTTTGTTTTTCATTTGTGAACCAAAAATAAGAGTACCTACTACAAAGACTGAAAGTTATTTTCGAACACGACATACAGAATTTAAAACATAGTAATTGCTCATAAACAGTAGCAATTATTATGTTACCAATCCCTCTATGAAAGTAAATTAGGGTAATTTTAATTTTACAAATATTATAAATAACAATAATAACAAAACCAAATGTATTTTTATTTATAGTTTATAAAGCACATTCATAGGATTCTTTCAAATGGTAGGCTTCCTGAGGACATAGCTGTAAGTTGAACAAGAATTCAACATGCAAACATCTAAAGTTATTGAAGAAGGAAAGATATTCTTAAACTAGCAATTCAACTGTTTGCTTGATTTTGTTGAGAAATTTAATTCCATTCATTATTACTGAATTTGGCCTTGAGTCTTAATGTACCATTATATTCACTCAACTATAGTAGGCAAGATCATTAGTATGGGATGGTACACAAAATTTCTGGGGGGGGGAATTGAGGCTAAGAAGAAATTGAGTGTCTGTCAGGTAAGAATATTAGAAACATTGATTAATGTTATTCTGCTATTTTTTTCTGATTTTGTCACCATAGAAACCAAACTTCTGTAACTTAAGTGTGAAAAGGAGGTGAAAATAAGCCCTTTTATAAAATAGAATCTTTACCTTTTGTTATTTAACTTTTTGTCATAGATCTTTGGGAAGTTAGCCAGTGTTGCACTTAAATCAGTTTAAAAAATAATCCATGGGGCCAATCTCACTATCTTAAAGAGACAGGTCTCTGTTTTACCTGTGCATGTATTGCTGACCTTGCCAATATTTTCACCCAGAAGCTTTTCGTACTTCAATGAGTTAAGTGGTGTGCTTTGAAGGAGTCACCACAAAATGTTGTTTTGTTCATTTGTTTATCATATAATAAAACCAAAGGATCATTTGCTAACCTGGCAAATGTGTAACGGATGAGCCCAAAATATTAAATGTTCTTCCTAAAAGTTGGCTTGTGTTGTCAAAATGTAAAAATAAAATGTGCATAATGAAATGACATAATTATCATTCCACATAAGAATTTAAAATGTTATGTTGGTGTACCCTGACTGTTTTCATGGAGTTATGGTGCATTAAATCTTTGAGTTTGAGTCTCCTTCAAGAAGAAAAAGTATAAAGTGAGAGAATTCTTCAGATCTTTTATGAAACAAGGTAAAATATAAGTTAAACAATAATAATTTACATATATAACAATTATAGTATAAAGCTTACAATGTACATAATAAAGAGATAGATAACATAAAATCCTATATGATAAAAGCATAATACGCAAATCGACCAAACAGCAGAATGATTGGTTGGTGGGGGGCGGGGCCAGCAAGCAGGCAGCACCAGGCCAGCCAAGGCACATGCTAGGGGGCAGATGGAGGGAATTATGATCAGGGGGCAGCAGAGACCAGCAGCAGTGGAAGGGCAATCAGGGGAGGAGAGTCAGAGCTACCAGCTGGCACTGTCCCCTGATCAGCTCGCCTGGTTACATCCTGCAGAAGGAGGCCAGACTGTGGCTTAGGCCCACTTCCAGCAGGAAACGGGCCTAAGCCATCAGTCGGACATCCTCCAAGGGCTCCTGGACTGTGAGAGGGTGCAGGCCAGGCAAAGGGACCCCCTGAGTGCACGAATTTTCATGCACCAGGCCTCTAGTAGTTACATAATTATTAACTATAAAATCTTTCAAAGGATTTAGTACCAAGCATCACAATGCTTTTTTGTCAACTAGATAACACCCTATAATTAATATTTTAATGACTGATTAGATATTCTCTTTTATTATTTCTTTTATGGACATGTGGAGACATATAGCCGTGAGGAAAATTGCAAGTCCAATTAGCATGAAGAAATTGAGCAGGTTCTATGGGAAAGAACTTGCTTGAGCTTAACTAAGAAAGAGCATATGGGTAGACTTAAAGGAAATTATCTAAGTGCTTTCCTGCAAATGACAAAGACATATGGCATAAATTACTCAACATTTTGGAAGCTAACTTAAGCTCCTTAATTCTTCACTTCTAGAACCTACTATCTGCCATCAGTCTCTGTGGCTCCAGCCTCATCAGACCTGCATGGTTTTGAATAGGTTTAGCTTTTTCCATCACTTAATCATGGATCCTCCTCTAGTTACTATTTTTCTAATCTTACTGTCTAATGTATTAGTGACTTTATTAACATGAAAAACTTCAACAAATAATAAAGCTAAGGATAGATCTCTGTAATAAAGAGTTAATACCCAAACCACTAGATGGCTATTTTAACACATTTCTATAATAAATCAAGCAAAGCATATTATTATGTGCCATTGGAATTACAAACAGAATGTTTTACAGTCACAAATACTGGAATCATATCAAACAAATGGGAAAGTAAAAAGCATGGACACTAAAATTTCCAAGTTTGTTATTACTAGGAGTAATATATACTAATTTTCTATGTGTAAAAGTAAATAAGACATTTAAAATATATTTGAAAGACACTCCTACATCCTTTTACAAATAAAGTGACATGTAAATAAATGTGAAAATCAGAAAAAAAGTAACCAGGAGTCAAGGTTAAATAAGGCAGTCCCTGAATTATAAACACTGAATAATAAACAATCTGTAAGTCCTCACCCACCTTTTCTATTAACTGCTATTACAGTAATTGTTAAAAAATAAACAAATAAAAATACAACAACAACAAAAAAACAACCTTCTACCTTTTTATAATGGCTGTGTTCAGAAGTGGAGGAAGCTTCAAACTGTGCAAACATGTAGAGTTTAGGGGATCTGACCTTACCAAAGCCCAAAGTTTGCCTAGAAATGGTACCCTCCTTAATAAAGAATATGTTCTCTGATACTGACTGGCTTTACCCTCCCCGCCCCCCCCCCCCCCCCCACACACACACACTTTATTATTTGATATCTGTGAAAGACCTACTTCCTAAGGACTTTTAGAGAATGAAAAATATTTTTTAAAAATTCTCTAAAAGTTGGTGCTTAGCAGTTCACATTTTAGTATGAACAGATTAGAACAACTACAATTAATTGCACTGAGAGACTTGAAGTTTTATCACTTGCACATCTTGGGGTGTAGAAGAAACGACTGGGCCCAAGGCCTGTGGAGGAGGCAAAAAGCCTTGAGAAAAGAGTACAGAAAGGCACTTGCAAGAATACTACTGAAATTCAGTTGGGCCACAGAGACTAGACACTTCCTTTCACTACGCAGTATGACCCTTCAAGGACTGGGAGACACAGCTTCATACTAGTAATGCGCTATTGTTCCTATGATGTGGTTTCACTTTGGCAGGTTACCTGGGGAATCTATTGATCTTTTACACACACCATTTCTTAGATTGAAAACTATGCCTTGGGTAATATATCTTACACGTAATCTTTGGAGTAAACTCCATTTCAGATGGGAATGGTCTGTATTAGAATATTAACATAGATACATATCTGAATAGAAAGAAGTTTTCATATCCAACAAGCCTAATTTCCTTGTAATTTAGTGATAATGCTAAATAATTTCCATCCTGTAGCATTTGGAAGGCACCTGCTCATCAGGTGACACTTCTCTCTATAGCACAGTTTAGGTACCTTAGACATGCTGGAAATATCCATGCAAAGTCGATCTATTAGGCAAAGGGCAAACTTTGTAAACAACAGCTATAAATGATTGATTCCTTAGTAAGTTCCAGATCTTTGATGTCATATTTTCAGAGTTAATGATCTTTAAAAGTACAGCTGAGTTGTTTTGTATCAATTGCCTTGTGTTTATTTAAGCATCACAAAATATTGACTCTTAAAAGAACCTAAACTTGTTAAGACAGCCTGATGATAGTTTTTATTGAGAATTTGATAAATTATCCTAATAGACAAAAGTTTTTCAAATGTTCCAACATTCTGAATAATATGTAATGATTTTAAAAGAATTTAAAATTACCTATTCTTTAAAATTAAGTACTTCACTATTTCTAATACATATTATTGATACATACATATTTAGTACACACATATTTACTTTTCCTTCCAAAGGTAATTTTTACTTTGCATTTAATTTTTAAATACTAAGCAATTTAAAAAATATAGTTTCACTATACAATTTATAATTTTAATGTAATGTCATACTAAAATAAGGAGTTATAAAAAGGCTTTTATAAAAATAAACAATATCAAGTAATTACAAATTTAATTATTTTAAACTTGTGATTAAAAATGTGAACACCTCCAGAAAATCTTATTTAAAAAAATCTATCATGTGAAGTGAGTTGTTAAACATAACTTTAAAGGTTTAATGTGTAAAGATATTTGTCTCAGAAAAAAATTAAAAAGCTTGGTTGAAAGCACTATAGTCCGAGGTTCATATTGAACTCTAAGTATTAAGAAGATAAAGTGATTCTCCGAACATCAGTGAGAAGTGTGCAGAAGATGGAGGTCACCCTTTGAAAGAAGATCTCTGTGACCTGTATAAATAGGAGCCCCACAAACACTTCCAACAAGCATAGGTCAGAATAGGGTCATGGCTCCAGGCCCTCTGGACCACTGTTCGCCCCGAGGAGTGTGCTCACCGCGTTAATCTCTCGTCCTTCAGTTCCAGGTCTGCCACTGTGATTAGCTGGTCCAGCTTGAATTTAGTGTCAATAATTTCTGCATCTCGAGGAGAGTATGTGCCACCTTCTTTCTGCTTCTGACGAATCCTAAAATCCATGCAGCAAAGTCCAAGAAGGGGATATCACAGAAAGCATTAGACATGAGTCAAATAATTTCTTCGCTGGGATCACTTCTCTGACTATACTGAAAATGTATAGCTACTCAGTATCTCTTTCAGGTTTAATTCCATAGCACCTATTTTTAATAATTATTTTGAACATGTTAATTTGTTGAAGTTTCAAAATTTAATGAGAATTAGTTGATCAAGGCCTGAGCCACTGGCATATTTAAAATATAGAGCAACTGAGACTGATTCTGTGAGCTTATCTTCCTCCCCTCCAATTGCCTAATAAATTTCTCCAAATAAAAAACATGCCAAAGTGAAAATAGCTCAATGATATCAGCACCACTGCTAAAAGACAATGCTCTGTTGTTTAATTATTTTAATTAAATCTGTCTGTTATAAATTATTCAAAAATATATAGAAAGTCTGGCATCTTCTGCTTTTGCGTTATCATTTTATTGTTTCTGAGCTCTAAATCCACTCTTTTTTGCCTGGTTTGTAATATTAGAGCTGGACGCGGTAACATTTCTCTTTTGCCTGCTAGCGAGATGTTAAGCTTTGTCAACAGAGGACACTGGAGTGACACGGCAAGGCTACATAGGGATGGGAGACACTTCCCTTGGGGGTTCATGCTGCAATATTTTTATTCATGTGGGAGCCTGGCAGCCCACTTGCATGAGCTCTGGCTGCCTGTTAAGTGCAGGTTCTTCCCACAGGTGAATGGCAACAAGTAGCTCCAGCTGAATATCCAGATACTCAGAAGAGTTTGTTTCCACAGACCAATTCAGCCTGCCTACCCTCCAACAGCAATGGGTAGCTTCTAAAGAACAGCTCCAGCCCCTTCCCTCTGTCACATTTCTTTGCCCATCGATAGGCAATAGGCTGCATGTGCTTGTGGTAGCCACTCCTTGTTAGCCTTGGGCCTTTTCTGGTTCTTAGTTCCTTTATTGTCCTCTCTCCCTCATCCTGGAGAGGGCATCTGCTTTGCTGCACTGACTAGTTCTGGACCCCTTAGATCCTTTACCTTTTAGTAGTTATGTATTTCTACTAGTTAACAGTTCTTTTTATTAGATATTTCCCATTCAGGTCACTGTTGTGGCTTGTCTCCCTATTGGACTGTGACAGAATAATGCTCACAAAGCATAATAGGCATGTGAGCACAAATAATTCTTACCTTGCAAATGCAAAAATAGCTGTTCCAAGAAGAATGATTGAAAGGATACACAAAGTGACTGAAAGAATAATCTCCACAGTTCTTTCTGAAAGTCCTTCACCTGAAGAGGATGAAGTATAACATTATCATTAGTTATTTTGATGATGATGATGATGATGATGATGATGTAAAACTATCTTGGATCTCAAAACACAGAAAAATATTTTCTTAGACTATTGTTCAAGAATACTAATAGCATTTACAAATTTGTTTGTTCATCTTATTCTCCTAAATCTTAAAACTTTGGGGCTCAGTCTTTGGACTTCTTCATGTTTTTATCTAAACTCACTCCCTTGGTGAGCCTACCCAACCTCATGGCTTTAATCTTCATCTATATGATGTTGACTATTAATTGTTACCTACTGAACTTACTTGTATAACCAACTGCCTCCTGGAAGTGTAATTAAAATAAAATAAATCAAAATTTCCAAAGCAAATCGCCTATACTTCCCTTATCTCAGGTGCATCCTTCCACCTCTAGTTGATGGCAACGTCACTGTTCTGTTGCTCAGGCCCAAAACCTCACAGTCATACTTGACTCTCTCTTAGAACAAATCCAAAATCTTTGAGGAAATCCTGTTAACTTTATCTTCAAGTTATATACTCTTTTCATTAAAAGAAACTAGAAAACTTGGATGGTAATTCCAAAGTGGTAGCAGGGAACAAAAGGAATTCACATATCTTATGGGGCAAGAACGCTAAGAAGCTTTCGAAGACTAATGATATAAGAACAAAAGATCCTCTTAAAGAGGTTCCTCCTGGCCAAAGAAGGAACAATTTAGACTTTATAATAAATAGAAACTGAAATTGATTGAAATAGAGTCAACATATAAAAAATCCATACATTCTAATATTATTGAAACTAATAAACTATGGGAGGAATAATAAAATTAGATACACAATATTACATTTCTAATGAAATAAGTGATTCAGGTAACAATCATAAGTGCTTTTCTAAATGATGAGAGTAAGGTTGATAGGAAATTGGATATTTATAGAATCAAAAATAATACCCCACAGATTATTTTCTGGTTATAATAAAGGAAAAAAACTACTTTCTAATAAAGGATTATTCTGTCACTACTACTAAACTTGCTAATCAATTTAAGTTCATTGAAAATGTGGCAACAAGATATTATACACCTTCTGATGTGAGGTATTTTGATCTAGGCAGCAACATTTTTAAAATATCCCTGCCAAAATCATTAATTGTGAATATTCAAACCTTTATATCTCATTTCTAATTTATAAGAAAGTACTGAACGGAGGAAAAAATTAATGCTACCAAACAAAAGTAATCTGGAAAATTCAGAATATGTTACCTCCTGCAGAACAACTCATCTGATTGCTTTAATGAGTCTATATCATAGGGGGAAAAAGAAGGGAAAGAGAAGTTTCTTCTAGATTAAAAGAGATTAAGAGATCAGACAATCAAAGATAATGTGTGACCTGTTTATTTTGATTCTGATTCAATCAAGCTAAAAAGAAAAATACCAAAGGATGATTTGAAAATGTATGTGGTATTATATAATATCAAGGATTTATTGTTAATTTATTTTACTGTGACAATATAATATACTAGAAGCCCAGTGTGTGAAATTGTGCAGTGCTGCCCACCCCCGTGCGCCCCACTGCGCTCGTAGCCCCACCCACCTGCGCGCCTCGCCCGTTGCCCCGCCCGCCCGCCAGCCGCCAGCCTTGCTGCAATTGGGACCTGTGGGCCACGCCACGTGAGCCGTGAGCCCCGCCCTGCCCCACCACTGCGAGCGGCTCTCGGGCCAGGGGGAGGGACCGAGAGGTGCTTCATGTACCTCCTGGTGAGTCTGGTCATTGGTTGTTACAGCGTGACGTCGTTATGCCACAGGCCTTTTATAATATAGATATATACTCATTAGAGAAAATTAGTTATTTCAGGGTTCCTTCTGCGATTTACTTTAAAATACTTCATAAATAAAAGAATAAATGCATAAATAAAACAATATGGCAAAAATGTTTAAAATTATTCAACTTAATTATTAGGTTCGGGGGGGGGGGGTCATTATAATCTTCAAAACTTTTGAGTGTGCTCTACTCACTTCTCACTATCTCAGCTGCTAGCATCCTGATCCAGGCTACCATCCGGTTTTATGTGAATTATTGTATGGACTAGAGGCCTGGTGCATGAAATTTGTGCACTGTGAGGGGGGTGTCCCTCAGCCAAGCCTGCACCCTCTCCAATCTGGGACCCCCTCACAATCTGGGACTGCTCACAATCTCACCTACCTGACTGCCTGATTTTCCCTAACTGCTTCTGCCTGCCAGCCAGCCTGAACACCCCCTAACCACTCCCCTGCCAGACTGATTGACACCTAACTATTCCCCTGCCAGCCCGATTGCCCCTAACTGCCCTCCCCTGCAGGCCTGGTCCCCCCCAACTGCCCTCCCTCCCCTGCAGGCCTGGTTGCCCCCAACTGCCCTCCCCTGCTGGCCTGGTCACCCCTAACTGCCCTCCCCTGCTGGCCATCTTGTGGTGACCATCTTTGACCACATGAGGGTGGCCATCTTGTGCAAGGGCGTGATGGTTAATTTGTATATTACCTCTTTATTATATGGGATACACAAGTTCCCTGTATCCACCCTTGTCTTCTATCCATCTATCTCTAAATAGCAGCAAGAGCATTCTTTTAAAACATTACCTTTCTACTTAAAACCCTCCTCTCTTACAGAGAAAAGCCAAAGTCCTTCCAATGGACTATTTGACCTGGTCCCTCATTAACTCTCTGGTTCTCTGACTTCTCCTCCAACCTCTACCTTATACACTCCTCTGGAGCCAGAATGTCCATCTTGTTGTTTCTGGAACATACCAAGTCACTCTTTACATACGGCTTTTGCATCAGCTTCATCCCTTGCCGAAAAAGTATCTCCCTTATATATCGGCCTGGAGAGCCTTTTTTTTTTTAAGAATTTTATTTATTTATTTATTTATTTATTTATTTATTTATTTATTTATTTATTGTCTAAAGTTTTACATATGTCTCCTTTTTCCCCAATTGACCCCCCCTCCCCCTCCACCAGCCATTCCCACCCCAGGCAAGCCCGTACTGTCCCAGTGTCTGTGTCCATTGGTTATGCTAATATGCATGCATACAAGTCCTTTGGTTGCTCTCTAACCCCTCCCCCTTACCATCTGTCTCTGGATCTATTCTTGTTCATCAAATTATGTAGATCATTATATCCCACATAAGAGTGAGATCAAGTGATATTTATCTTTCTCCGACTGGATTATTTCACTTAGCATAATGCTCCTGGAGAGCCATTTCCTTATCTCCAAGGTTGCTTCTCAATGAGGCCTACACTAACCACCTCCTATGAATGTATAGGTGCCTCCAAAATTCATATATTGAAGCCATAAGGCCAAGGGTAAGTACATTTAGAGTAAGGAAGTAATTAAGTTTAAATGGGTTCATAAGAAATAAGAGTTGGGTCTAATCTGATAGGCCCAATAGTTTTAGTATCCTTATAAGAAGAGATACGAGAAAGCTGGCTTTCTCCCTCTGGACACACACACACACACACACACACACGAAGGAACATGCATGTGACTTTAGTGAGAAGGAGGCCTTCTACAAGTCAGAATGAGAATCCTCACCAGATACCAAGTTGACTGCAACCTGGATCTTGCATTTCTAGCCTCCAGAATTGTGGTAAAATAAATTTTTGTTGTTTAAGCCACCCAGTCTATGGTCTTTTGTTAAGTCAGCCCAAGCAAACTATGATACCACCATGAACAACTGAAAGATATAACTAGCTCACTTCCTGCCTCCTCTCTTCTATATCCTCTGCATACTGTTCTACTCTTTCTTTTCTCCATAGCCCTTATCACCCTTTAATTTACATTATAATTCATTCATTTATTATCCTTATTGTTTATTATCCATCCAGAATGTAAACTCTCTGAGGACAGGGGACTTTATTTTATTCAAAACTGCTTTTCAAGTTCTGAAAATAGTACCAGGCACATAATAAATGCTCAATGAATATTTGTTAAATTTACTAATGAATACAAATATTGAAATAGATAGTACTTTTTTTCGGGTTGGAGATCAGTCATTGAAACAAATAAGAATGTACAACTTATTAATCATTTATTTTAGACAACTACTAAAATTATTGTAAAGTTTAATTTATTTGATTTATAATTTTACTGTAAAAAAAGTATTAAAGTTGAGTGACAAAATAGGCTATTTGTAAAATATGCAGGGCTTAATGTTTTATATTTTTTCCCTGGATTGATGCTTATGAAATGTTAAAATATAAAAGCGTTCCTATGGCGATTCTGCATGGTAGATTTAAATGAACACTGGACATTAAAGAGTTATCAGAGTCTTATGGTTTTCTAGAATCACCAGCACAATTTAGAAGACACTAAAGCAGCATGTAGCTCCTAAAGTATTTTAGATACACCTTTCTTTATACATGAAAATGTGAACAATTTGTTTGATTGAATTTTCACATGCTGACTCTTAATTGGATATGCTTGGGAAAGGAAACGTGAAGGTGAATGAAGAATCTTTATCAAGTAATATTGAATCACTGGACTTTAGAACTCAGTGGGGATAAAAATGATTTCATAGACCACAATTTTTTTCTCATATTAGATTACTATTTCAAAGCACTAGCCAAGTGAAGTGAGGAAATGACATACCATGTATTAATAAACAATGTGTAATCCTTTGGGCACATGTATTACAAAAGTACCATTGGGAAAGTACAAAATGTGCCATGATTGTGAGAACAAATTCTGCTTCATTGCTATTCATGTACCCACAAAGCATGACCAATAAGAATGAAGGCACTTCTATAAATCTTTTCACAGAAAATGGAATTATTTTACTTAAAAATATAAACATGAATCTTTTTGGAATAAGTACAAGTCATTTCCTCATTAGACTTAAAATTATATAAAAGGTCAAATTAAATTATGTTGTATTTGCAGAATAAAACATACCATTGTAATTAAGGAAGTCATAATTATGCAGTACTAATTAAGTTCTCATCAGTATTATATTTTGATTGCAATTA